TTTGTACCACTAAATAACATACTTTTGTTAAGCGAGACAAAATCTTATACTCTCAACTAATTATAATCACAAATATCTAATCTATAATTTTCAAGATGGCCAAGCTTATAGTATTAATGAGTACCTGCCATATATGTTTCTTAAGTAAGTAATAAACAAATATAATAATATTAACATTAATATTAATTATATATATTTTTTGCAATATTTGTGTTATGAATAATAATATTAGTTCAACGTACGATACCTAACAATAAACTTGTCTAGTTGAAAAACAAATTGCGGCACCAAATCATGTTCTTGCAGAAAAAGAAATTCATTATACTTAAGAAAATGCGAATGTGCTTTACGCAAAAACTTTTAATTAAATAATTAAACTAAATATGAATATTTGAATGTATCTGTTTAATGTAGCTAGCAATTAATGTTAGATAAGCATCTAATCATTTTTATTCGCTAGTTTTGAAAATTTTTTTTATTTTAATTAATTTTTCGTTTAATTATAAAAAATTACTGTTTTCAAATTTTTTTTTTGCTTTTTTTTTAATTGGTAAATAGATACCAAATCTAAAACAACCTACTTCATTTTACAATTTACAAATAATATGTGACAATTCTGGATCGATCTAAATTCTGTAACGATGCAGAACAATTAACTACGAATCATCCAATAACTATATATTATGTAAAGATAAATATTACAAGCTTAACATCAAAAAAAACAAAAAGGAAAGCAATATGAAGCATTAACAATATACGTTATATACATTTTATTAATGAACAAAATGATTTACATTAGTTTAAATTTTGCAAGTAAATTTAGAGATCTCTAAAAATACTAATCTATTTAAAGCAAAAAAAAATCTGAAGCATGCATCATATATTATTGAATAATAAAATGGTTTACAATGGTTTGTAATTCATTGCAAGTAAATCTTGAGATTTTATCAGTGCTATTAATATTAATGCATTCAATCTTGTCCACACTGATTTGTCTAAATAGTGTATAGACCTTGTTTGCTTTTTCGGTTCTTTTTTTTAAGAGTCCTCTCTTGACATTTGGTAAATATACCAATATTTTATCATAAAGCTTTGACTAAGCATTTCGTTCAGAATATCAATTATTATGCATCATTTCTCTAACTTTCCTTTCATGATTTTTACCATATCGGTACCATGATGCAATTTCATCCCTCAAACTTCTAATCGATCTACTTTTTGCTTTATTTGTTAATTTATATAGATTTGCCAACATTCTTGGTGATATTTGATTGATTACTGTACTGGATCCTTCTTCTGTATTCGGCTCATTTTTATCAATATCATCTTCTGTTTCCTCCATATCTTCCACACAATTTGTTATTTCTAATATAAATTTTTGAACCTTTCGTTTTCTAATAAGTTGTCTGTTGTTATTGGTGATGGTGACAGTATTATCTTCGTCTTCTTCATTATAGTACTCATCATCTTCTGCCTCATCCATATTTTCATCATCTCTTCTATCAGACTCATTTCTATTTTCATTACCTTCAGACTCTCCCTCACGTTCATTTCTAGTCTCCGTATAATTATTTTCATCCATATTTATTTCATTTGCTTCTTGAGTATTTTCGCTTTGACTTTCTTGTTCATTATTATATGTATTTTCTTGAGTGTTTTCATTTTCATTATGTACTTCTACAGGCACTTCGGTATGATTGTTTGGGGTTGTACTTTGTGTACGATATAGTGGACAAGACAGCTGTAATTCCATGTTAGAATAACTATGGTAATTAAAAATATAATTATAGTGGAAAAAGTGCATGCAAGACAATATGGTGATTGAGTCTTTTAAACTAAGAGAAATACTATCTTGACAAAAAATACATCTGTTGGGATCATTGGGATTTTCAGGAGTTTTGTCAATAATTTTGCTTAGAAATTCAGTTAAAAATGACATCTTTTTGTATTTTAATTAACCACTTACAAAGTATTTAAATGAATCTTTTTTTAAATATTGTCTATATAATTCTAAATATAATTATATAATTACCTATACATATAAGCTTATTTAGAAGTATTTCGATCCACGGAGGTAAACACTAAAACATTTATGTAAAGTTGTAATTACATTTATAATAATATAAGCATATTTATATATATTTATTGAGTTTCTGATTATTTGTCATTTTGACTTTAAATTATTGTGAACCAAGTTCACAATATTATGTGCAAGTTTCTTTTATTGCATAATAATAACAAGTATTAAATCATAAGCATATCTAGAAGTATATTCGATCCGCTGAAATAGACTCTAAAAACAATTGTAATAAAGTTGTAATTACATATTTATCATTTATAATAACATAAGCATATATTATATTTACTTATTGAGTTTCTAAAGATTTGTCATTTAGACTTTAAATCATCATGAACCAAGTTCACGATGTCACGTGCTAATTCTTTTTAATGCATTTAATACGAGTAATAATAACAAATATTAAATTGAGGGTGTGGCGACTTAGTGAAGTAGTGAAGTTGTCGCACCCCCAAGCGGTAGAGTATAAGTTAAATTTCTACAGAAGGCGAAAAAATTGAATTTAGAAAATGGATTCGGCAACTATCGTCATGGCTGGAAAAACTTGAGACCCTGTAACTGTGGTCGTACCAAGATAAAAATTGGAAGATTCTGGGGTATTTGTGT